TATGTACAGCTTTCTGTCTCCTGTACTTTCCTATAGTATAGAACTCTCTAGATATTCAAAATAGATTCTTACTTAAGGATAATGAAGTAAACTGTGAAGAACAAATGAAGTATGTTTGGCAGCTTTTGAACAAGATTGAATTCTCAACTTGAAAATGGATTTAAGCTCATGTTATAGAACTAGTAATATGGTCCGTATGGTCCAATGGTTCACTAGTTATGGCAGTTCTAAGTATGATATTATTTAACTCCTGAAGGCTTTGTTATTCCTGTTAATATGAGTGATACTCATTGATATCTAGGGTCTAAGCCAGATAGCAGTAACTTCAAGATCTAGTGGTAATGAAATTCATGCTAGCAGTCTTCTGTTAGCTAGGACACTGTTATGCTGTTTCATGAAAATGCTTATTTTAGAGGCTAAATTATTTATTTTTTAAAAATTTATTTAATAACCATATAATTAGAAGGAGCATTTCATTGCAACAGCATTGACATATTCAATAACAGTTTCCAGAGCAAAGATGCATCTCTTTCAAAATTGGCCGTAATTTTTAGGTTCACAGTGTTGAACTAATAGTTATACATTATTGTACTCAGTATAAACCCTATAAGACATAAAATTGAATGAGGTTTTAACCTTAGAATATACTGTTTCATGTAGAAAAACTCATTTTTAATGCAAATAACCCTTAGATGTTTGCACATGTGTCTCTAATCTCTGTATATCTGATTATTACTACTTACACTTGGTTACTTTCTGGGATCCTTGGCACCTGAGCACGGATATAAATTCATCAGATAGATTTCAATGGTAATGTTTTTCATATCTACTAATTAACATGAAGCAAATATTTTTGCTTCTTCCTCAAATATAATGCATTTTTATTTATTGATTTATTTTTGTGTGTATTTCATATAGACCATCCCAAACAATCTTATTCATCTTTTTTAAGCTTTATTTTTATTTTTAAATTTTTAAAAATTACATATTTATTATTTCAAAAGGGAAGAACTGTGACAAAATCAAATAAAATCCAATACAATAAATAATACAATAAAATCAAATAAAAACCAAATAAAAACCTTGATTTACAGTGTAAATCAAGTCCTGTAGCTCAAAGTCCAGCATCCGGGGCCCACTCATGATGGTCTGGGCTCCAAAAGACTTGGGAAATTCTGCGTCTCTGACTCTGCCATCCTCAACACACACAGATTATCTGGTGGGCTCAGGCCAGCTCCACTCCATACCTGTCGCTGTCCTTGGTCATAGCATCTCCAATATGCTGAAGTCTCCACTGCAACTGAGGCTACGCTTTCATTAATATCTTCCTGGCCCCTCACAGCACCAAGCCTCAGCTGCTCTCCATGACTCTGCCAATCTTGCAACTTTCATGCCATCGAGACTCGTGCCGTGTGGTAGACTCTCTTTTGTTGTTGTTGTTTTTTAATTATTTATTTAATAACCACATGATTAGAAGAAGCATTTCATTACAACTTTAACATATTCAATAACAATTTCCAGAGCAAAGATACATCTTTCAACAGTGGCTATAAAATTTCTAGGTTTGCTGTTGAATTAATACAGTTATACAATATTGGGCTCAGTATAAGCTTTATAATAAAATTGGATGAGTTTTTAACCTTTAAAAAAGATCTCCGTTTCATTTTAAAATATACTGTTTCCTATAGAAAAACTTATTTTTAATGCTACTAACATTTAAATGTTTGCACATGTGTCTCTGATCTTTATGTATCTGATTATTACACTCGGATCTTTGGCACCTGAGTATGGATATAAAGTCTCAGATTTCAATGGTAATGTTTATCACCTCTACTAATTAACATGAAGTAAACTTTTATGCTTCTTCCTCAAATATAACTCATTTTTTAAATTTGTTGATTTTGTGTGTGTATATCACACAGAACATCCCAAACAATCTTATTCACCTATATACCCACTTCCCAAATGGCACCCTCCCATAGCCTCTTCCCCGCCCCCCACACTGGAGCCCATACACTCTGTCATCCCTGTTACTATCCACTGTGTTGTCAGTGCCCCCAGCCATTCCCCAGTGCTTGTCCATCTGTTGAGTCTACTCAGCCTATCTAGAGTTTGTTTTAGGAAGGTCAGCTCTTCCTCATCTAGCAGTAACCAGTTGCCAACATTCCTTTAGCTAAGATTGGAGTCTGCTGTTCATTTTCCCAATTCTGTGCTGGGTTACTGTCTGGGAGTCTTTTGGGCCACCCTGGCCAACAACTCAAAGGAAGGTATCTCCTGTCTGACATTATTTCTTGTTATGTAGCCTTTAACCATATACATGGACTCTTAAAGAAATACACTGATCACTTTAATCTTTGGTTATACTTTCCTTTTGGGTGTTTAAGACCATACAGTTGGCCCAAATTAATTTATTTTTACTCTTAAAGTTGTTTGAGGGTCTGTTCCTCAGGGGTCACATGGGCTTGGGAGGAGCCCCTGGCTCCTTTCTTTTACCAGTTCCATCTATGTGAAGATAAGTTAAAGGTCCTGTTTGTCCATGGCTGGCTTTACTTGGAAGCATGGAGGAAAGGTTTCCTCTGTGTTGACCCTCCTCTTTGTAGACTGGACACTGGTTCAAGTCCATCTGGTAGGGTCTCCATGGCCCCCTTGATCAAGAGGACAGGTGACTCACCACAATTACAGGACATTTTGAGATGCTCATAGTCCCCTGGAACTTAGTCGACCTTGGAGGGCAGATTAGTATAGGCCTCAAAGCATTTCTTAGACATCCAAGGTTAGTTCCACCAGTCTGGTACTTTTAATTACCATGTGACATGTAGATAGAGCTTAGGCAAAGACCAAATGTTCTCAGATAAACCTTGACTAGACATATATTATGTT